TTGACCCTTTGATTACATGCCAACATTAATTTACATAACAAAATGACTTACTGATTAAGTTGCCTCTTATCTGATAGTTGCAGGAGTAGTGTTATTCAGCTGCTTAACCTGTCTCGTCTACTTTCTCGGATCCTACGTGTAAAACACTCACACGCTAAGTCATCGATTTAGTGAGGCAATATAATAATAATGAAAATAAAGAAATGTAATGGAAATGCCATAATAAAATGGGATGAGATGAAATCAAATACTTAACCATGCAGTTTATATCACCATGATCCTTACCTGTAAGCATAATATATTAACATTCATGAATTCGTATTAATAAGATTATTGGCCCATGATACCATACTGAGAACCTAAGGTATATAAGTACTGTGAGGTTGTGCACTATGCTGTCACCACAGCTCGTATAAATGCACCGAAGCGCCACGTAGAATTGCACCGAAATGCCGCGTAGAATTGCACCGTAGTGTCATATAACATTGTCCCTAAGGACCACATAGATAATTCCTTAAGAATCATATACATATACCAAGGATCAAGTATATATCTCAAAAGACCTCACACATATTCCAAAGAATACATATATATCTCGAAGGACCACGTAGATCCTCTACTCTTGGCATGCCAACTATACCTATAGTTCTCATCTACATAACATGGGCTTTTCCCAAATTACATAATATATATCACATAGACATATCATTTCCTTACCTTCATCACATTGCTCATATAACTTTGCATACATATTCATTTAAAACATGCTACACAATGCACATAGTATGAATTCATATCATACTTCACAATATGAAATGAATCATGCATCAATGTATTGAATCTAGATTTCTCACAAGTCTAGAACTAATTATATCATTATAATCATGTTATGTATATGCACTCACCTATATTTCCTTGTTTTTTCCTCGATCGATCCTACTAGGCAATTGTTCTGGAACTTGTTTAGGCTCTGTATCTACATAGTAATTCATTGATACTTATCAGTATACTAATTAATATATTTTATACTATCATTTCTTAGGCTAAAAGAAAATCCATTTTCATCTTTTAATGAATGTATGCATCGATGCACTACACCATGTATCGATGCATCCCTTGACGGGTGCATCGATGCACTATCTATGTATCGATACATAAATCCTATTCGATGTTTGTATTTAAGGGGGTGCATCGATGCACTACTTGTGCATCGATACACTGATGACATTCGATGTTTTTATTTTAAATTAGTGCATCGATGCACTTCATGTGCATCGATACACCTTGAACAATTTCTGGGATTTATCCTTGATGCATCGGTACACATTGAATGTGCACCGATGCACATAGCCCAGAAATGTTATTTTGAGCACGAAAATCTCTTTATAATCCTCTCAACACTTCATAATTCACCTCATTTTATATCCCTAACTTGCAACTTACTTAAACTAATTATTATCCATTCAATACTTCTAAAACTTAGAAATTCAATCCTTCATGTGGAATTTAAGAATCTCACTCAATTTCCAACATGTTCTAATTTTAATTCTAACACTTCCTATTCCTTAATTAGCTTGATGACAAGTCAAATCCCACTTCTAATTCTTATTATGAACTTTGTTCCAAGATTTCACTTTTCTACTTCCTTTCTTTAATCCTTCCTAACTCCATCATCTTTTGATTTTAAGATAACCTAAGCTTTCCTTAAGCTTAGTTATCATCTAATGATCAATAAGTAACCTTAAATTCATCAAGAATTTGATTAACAAGAAAACTCACCGTTTGCTTGGCTTCACGATGGAGAAGAAGAATGAAGAAGAAGATAAGTCTGGAAACTTTGGTTCTCTCCAATAGCTTCCACGTGGGTATAAAATATCCTCAACTAATATTTAATTATTTCCCTTATTAAAAGACTCATTTACCCCTTTAGTTCCCCCTTTTTTGTTAATTGATCCTACACAAAACATTTCAATTAACTCTTTGAACTTTTCAATTTATCCAATTTGGTCACTGAATTTTTAAATCTCACAATTTAATCACTAACCCGATATGGAGGATGTTACATATGCCAATAATGGGAGTGATGACCATGAAGTCAGTTCAGAACAACACTCTGGCAGTTTGGAAACAAACGATGATATTGCCAGTCAACCTGCTAATGAATCCACTGCAAAGCAACATGATAATGATGAAGTCAACGAGTATAGCGTTCAACCTATAGAACCTTGTGGCAATACTCATTCCATGCTAACTCGAAGCAAGTGTGGAGTGTACAAACCCAAAGCTTACATAGGGTCTGTTCTAGATTATATTCCATTCACAGTACGTGAAGCATTTCAAGTCCCAAAATGGAAGGCAGCTGTATATGAAAAATATAATGTATTGCAACGTAATGAGACTTGAGAGTTAGTCAGGTTACCAAAATGAAGAAAAATGGTTAGCTGTAAGTGGCTGTTGAGGCTCAAGAAGAACCTCGATGGTTCAATTCATCATTACAAAGTACGTCTGGTTGCTAAAGGATTCTCACAAATTCCTGGGTACGATTTCAGAGATACCTTCAGCCCCGTGATTAAGTTCACCACCTTGAATGTCATCCTGTCTTTAGCAGTGACCAACGGTTGGGCACTTCGACAAGTGGATGTCAACAATACTTTCTTGAACAGTGAGCTTCAAGAAGTAGTTTTCATGCATCAGCCACTATGCTTTGAACAGACTGCTCCTGATGGCAGCAAGCTGGTTTGTCGACTGAAGAAGGCACTTTATGGCCTAAGACAAGCATCGAGAAGCTGGCACACCAAGCTTCGAGACAATTTACTGGTATTGGGTTCCAAGAGTCACGAGCTAATGTATCGTTGTTCATCAAGAAGAAGGGTGTGAACTATGTCTATCTACTGGTGTATGTTGATGACATAATCATCACAGGCCACTCGAGCGATGAGATAGATGAAGTTGTTCGACTGTTAAGTGATATATTTTCACTTAAGGACCTCGGACAACTTTCATACTTTCTTGGCATCGAAGTAAGAAGAACAAATGAATATCTAGCCTTGTCACAAAAGAAGTTTATCACTGAACTTCTGGAAAAAGCAGACATGTTAAAAGCCACACCTACACCAACTCCTATGGTTGCAGCTACCAAATTGCGCAGTGATAAAGGAGAACTCATTCCTGATGCATACAACTATCACAACATCATTGTAGGATTGCTTTATGTTTGCCATACAAGACCGGACATCGCATTTTATGTAAATAAAGTGGCCCAATATATGCATGCTCCACGACAGTCACACATGGTTGCAGTAAAACGGATTTTGCGTTACTTGGTAGGCACGATGAACTTTGGTCTGGTTTTCACTACTGCTGGTGTTGGGGTGAAAGTTGATGCCTTTGCCGATGCAGATTAGGGTTGTAATATCGTGTCCGGACATGGTGTCTTTATTGGCAACAACTTGGTAGTTTGGAGCTCCAAGAAATAAAAGTTTGTCTCGCACTCCACGATGGAGGCAGAATACAAAAGCATGGCTGACACTGCAGTAGACGTGGTTTGGGTTAGTTCATTGCTTGCAGAGGTTGGTGTGTGCCAAAAGGAAGAACCGATCATATGGTGTGACAACACGAGCGTTGTGGCTATGAGCGCAAACCCTGTCTATCATACACACACCAAGCATGTTGACCTTGACATCCATTTCGTGCGAGAGAAGGTTACAGTGAAACAAATGCAAGTTAACTACGTGCTTCCTGCTTATCAGGTTGCTGATGGCCTGACCAAGCCGCTAGCTCAAAATTCCTTTGAAGAATGTGTGAAGATGTGTTGAAGAAGTAGGGGAGGAGAGAAAGTAGGGAGAATATTGGAATGTGCTTACACGTGATGCATGAAGTCTCCACCCATGAGGTTGTGATGCAGCTGATAGATGCTGCTGGGTGTGCTCATGTAGTTGAGGCAGTTAAGGTGTTAGTCAGTTAGGCTGTTGAATGTCTGTTAGTAGTTGTAACTAATGAGTAACTAATTGTATACTTGGAACTATATATAAGCTGTAAAGGATGAATTGAAAAGATGAAGAAGAAAGTATTCAGTTCTTGCATCTGTTGTTAGCTTAGCTATCTTGAATGTTCAATATTCAGCTCTCCCTTTCGACATGTTAATGAAAATCGCGGCACCGTTCAATTTCCCGAATCTCCTAGTGGCGTCTCTGGTTTGCAGGTCCTGGAGGGATGCGCTTCGGCCGTTGAGGGAAGCGATTGTGCTGCTGCGTTACGGGAAACGGTTCAAGCACGGTCGAGCAGGGTCGACCCTGGGCCGGGGCATAAGGGGCGCCCGGGGCCCGTAAAAGTTTTATACTATATTTTTTATAATTTTTTAAAATTAGGGGTCCATTTCTTTTATATATTTTTATGTGCTTTAATATTTTTTTGACATTTTTGAGATGATAATTAATTACTATTTGTTTATTTTAATAAAAAAATTAATATCAATTTTATACTATATATTTTTTATAATTTTTTAAAATTAGGGACTCATTTCATTTATATATTTTTGTGTGCTTTAATATATATTTTTTTGACATTTTTTGAGATGATAATTAATTACTATTTGTTTATTTTAATAAAAATTAATATCAATTTTATACTATATAATTTTTTAAAAGTAGATGCCCATTTCTTTTATATATTTTTGTGTGCTTTAAATTTTTTTTCTTTTTGATATTTTTGAGATGATAATTAATTATTATTTGTTTATTTTAATAAAAAAAATTAATATCAATTTTACACTATATATTTTTTATAATTTTTTAAAATTAGGAGTCCATTTCTTTTATATATTTTTGTGTGCTTTAATATTTTTTTGACATTTTTGAGATAGTAATTAAATACTATTTGTTTATTTAAAAATAATAATATCAATTTTATACTATATATTTTTTATAATTTTTTAAAATTAGGGGTCGATTTCTTTTATTTCATCCCGAGGTAAAAAATACTTAGGGCCGGCCCTACGGTCGAGTCGGTGTCCGACGCAATTTGGAGAAAGCTCTCGGGTCGTTCTTGAAAGGCGCTGAGCTGGGCTCCACGTTCGCTATGGTCGATGCGGGGCTTATTTACTGGGAAAAGGGTCAATAGGAAGAAGCAATTACTTTTTATCAAAGAGCTGCCGCCCTCGGTGTCACTGCTTGCCAGTGCAATCTCGGAATCTTATACTTACAAGGTATTTCGTGAGCTTTTTCTGTAAGATTAGCTTATAAGTAATCGCTGTTCAGTAATCACATATGGTTCCGAAGATGTTTGGAGTGACTCTAAACCTGATTGTTTGAATGGTTATGCTTATAATTCAATGTCTTACAATTTGAATTCTATTGACCAATATCCAGGTGATCCTCAAGATCATAAGGAAGCTATAAACTGGATGCATCAAGCTTCAGTCGGGGCCATGTTCGAGCTCAGTACCAGTTGGCCCTTTGCCTGGAGGGTGGAACGAAATCTTGAAGAAGCAGTATGGGATTTCTTCGCATAACCGTTTTAATTATACATAATTAGTGAGCGGCAAAGCTCGGCAAAGCAGTATGGGATTTCTTTGCACCGATTCCTATGCTTGGAGTTACTCCCCCCATAAGACTTTACTAGTAAAAGGAACACATTATTGTTTACTAGCCGACGGATCCGGGACATCGGCAAAGCTCAGTGTCTTTTGCACCGACTCGAATTCGAAATGAGAAATGATATCGGATTCAGAGATGCATTTTTCGACTAAGCTCGGAGATGGAAAATCCATTTGCCTCGATGCAGCGCCAGACAAGACAATCATCACAAATAGTTGCAAATGCATAAGTAAAGACAACACATGCGACCCTTCGAGCCAGTGGTTCAAGCTTGTGGACAGCACAAGGAGCAGCAAAAGGGTGAAACGATCTTTGTTGAAATAGTTAGCTGGAAAGGGTAGCCTTTGGGTATAGAGTTGCATGGGAAGCAACTTTTGATCAATGGGAGGCATATAGGCTATGGTAGAAACAAGAAAGACATGTCGACGCCATTTTCATCAAGCATTCATTTTTAGTTTTAGTTATTTCGTAAGGTATAGAAATTAGGTTCCAGTTGATTTGATCAATAAAAAAACAGTAATCATTTCATCAATTCAAAGAATCGGTCGGCCTAAACAAACATTTGGATTGAGCTATTTATTTCTTACATAGACCAGCATGGATGATGGATCTTAATAAATGAATCTAGCAAAGATTTCCCGACATGACAAAATCATTGCAGATGAAATTAGCATTCAGTTGATCATTGAGGTAAAATTCAATCCAAAAAAAAACATGGGCCTCGATTCCTATCCTGTACCAAATTCACTGCCTATGATTTAAAGCCTCCAAATTCTGGCTGATTAATATGAAACAAGTTTCCCCTCGCAGGCAACTTTCCTGTAGATCACCTCTCTTATGAGTTCAATGTCCTGGGTTCTAGAGGTCCAAGGAGAATGCAGTTGTCATTTCCACCAGTTGATTTAAAAGGAACGCTACTACTGATTTCCGAGGCTCAAATTTGATTAAATTCAGGCAGAGTCAAATCCATAGCAAAATGTTTAGATGAGTGACAAGTTAAAAGCCTTTGTCTGTCTTCTGTAGAATATATAACAAAGGTGTCTTCCTGCATGTTTGTATGTATATATATATATGCTCCTTGGAGTTTGGTGGATTCGATTCTGGCATCTCAAAGGTGTAGTGCTGGCATATTTTTGTTTCAGGGCAGTGAATTTGGACATTAGGATCGCACTTCATGGTTTTAATAGTGCTAGAGTTTGACCCTAATTCATGTTTTGCGAGAGGCGAATGTCAAGCATTGTCCTTAGTACAAAGGCAGCCCGTTGTTTATTGATTGTTAACGTAGATTGATGTCCATTTCAATTATAATTTGCAATTTTTGGAGAGCTGGCCTTCAAGTGATGGAATGTTGCTATGAATATTTATGTTCTATCCCTTTTAATGATCTTGAGGCTGAGATGGCTCACAATCAAGAGGTTTTTACATTAGAAAGCAGCTCTCGTCATTGAATATGATTCGCGTATTGAATTACCATGGGACTTGGTTCCATACTCCAAACCCTGGTTGATGCGGAAACTCTTTAGTAGAACGTGTGTTTGAGACTTAAATATATATATCGTCTTCCGATTTAAGGATTTAAGTGAAGCTATAGAATACAAAAAGATTAAGGCTGTTGAATATAATGTGTTAAGAAAACTTGAACCACAGCAAACCCAATTAAGTTCAAAATCAACTTAGATAGTAACCCAAACCTGTTGAACGGAAACACCGGGGATCGGATTCTTGAGTTTCTAATATGGTATCATTCGCCTATGGTCCTGCGGCCATCTTTCTTTCGCTTTGCCGTGCTAGTTGTCTCTTCGAGTTTCTGTTTGCTTCCATCACCGTCGTTGTTTGCTTCTTAGTATGTTGCAGATTCTGATTGATTTACAATCAGATAAATCCTCGTCAAGAAAATAGGGCTTCGATTATCCAAATTGTTCTCTTGGCCAGTGATTCTTCTGCCCTCAATCTAAGTTGAGAATATGTCTTTGCTGCTCTGTTTGACTTGTGATCATTTGGCTATTAACGTTCTTCTGCATTCTTTGTTTTTATCTCTGATTTAATAGTGTCTTGTTAATATGACTAATAATGGAGATGAATAATTAATGAATGTAAATGCTATTTCTCTGTGTTCATTCAAATAGTCTACGCATTACTCTACGTTGAGAGATTCACTCACTAAAATTAGTTTTGCGGTGCGAGTTGGTCTAAATTAGCCGGGCCGAAGCTCTTAGAAGCTGGGAAGGCAACCAAATATATATATATATATATCATCTTCTAATTTAAGAATTTAAGCGAAGACAGAATACCAAAAGATTAAGGTTGTTGAATATGATGTATTAAGAAAACTTCACCGACCAATTAATGAGCAACCCCAATTAAGTTCAAAATCATTTCATCAACTTCACCGACCAATTCATCAGCAACCCCAAGAACGGAACTTCTTTCCCTAACCACTTACACCATACAGAGATTATAAGTGCGTGCCTAATATGTTACAGGGAAAAGGGTCAAAAGGAAGAGGCAATTGCTTTTTATCAAAGAGCTGCCGCCCTCGGTTACACTGCTGGCCAGTGCAATCTCGGAATCTTATACTTACAAAGAATTTCGTGAGCTTTTTCTGTAAGATTAGCTTATAAGAAATCGTTGTTCAGTAATCACATAGGTTCCGAACATGTTTGGAGTGACTCTAAACCTGATTGTTTTGAATGGTTAAGCTTATAATTTAATATCATACAATTTGAATTCTATTGAAAAATATCCAGGTGAACCTCAAGATCATAAGGAAGCTATAAAATGGTTGCATCAAGCTTCAGTCGGGGGCCATGTTCGAGCTCAATACCAGTTGGCCCTTTGCCTGGATCAAGGTTTTGGGGTGGAAGGAAATCTTGAAGAAGCATTATGGGATTTCTTTGCTTAGCCGTTTTAATTATATTCATAATTAGTGATCGTTTCCATTTGATGATTGGGTTTACTTTGTTTTGTTATTGTTTGCTTAGGCTAGATGATATCTAGAGGCAGCTGAAGGTGGATATGTGCGTGCTATGTATAATGCTTCGCTTTGTTTTACATTCGGTGAAGGTTTATCACATAATGGTCGACAAGCAAGGAAATGGATGAAGAGAGCAGCTGATTGTGGCCATGGCAAAGCTCAATTCGATCATGGACTCACTCTAGTTTCAGTATGTCGAATTTTTCTATCTTTGTTTAAATATATGAACATTAATAGATGCATGTATGAGATATGTATATGCACAAAACTTTATATGTTTATGGATGCTTGATTATGTTTCAAGTCTGCCATTTTTTTGTCTGTGTGCTTGTGATCAATGTTAGATTTGTCTAGAAATTAAGTTGACAAGTTGGAAATTTCATCTTGGTTGGTAGCCAACTTATTGGAAATTTCATCTTGGTTAGTGGCCAAACTTTGAACATGTGAATTTCATATTTGGTGGCTAACTTGTACACATTGAAAAATTCTTTGGTAGGAGCCCAAACTTTGAACATATTGTTCTTAAAACTCAACTATAAATAGGCCTAAGTATTTCCATTAGATATCATCCCAAAAACAAGTTCTCTCTTCCTCTTGTATTCTTCATTCTCCCACTTTGGGAATTCTAAAGAATTCCATTTGTTGTAATATTGGCGATATAGTGAAGTTATCATCCGGTGTGGTGCCTAAGGAGTATACGATATTCTCGTCGAACCTCATAAATTTGGTGTGTTCTCTCCTTTATTGTTTTTATTCGGTTCTTTTTCATTGTGTTTCAATATTCAATAGTTTGACAGGTTTATCCATTGTGCAACCTTTGGTGGTTTTAATCTTGACATTTTAGGTCAATTTTAAAACTACGTTCGTGTGGGAAATAACCCGTTTTCCCCAATAATTGGTATCAGAGCTTCGGTTGAGGTTATCCTGGTGGTTCCGTTGCTGAAAAGATACAGTTTGTGATATTGAATATTGTTCGTTAGAATTAAAATGCCAAAATACAGATCAGTTGAGACATCAAGCTCTTCATCTGGACAGGTGAGGAGGGTGATGTCAAATGCAAATTTCTCGGTGGAGTTGTTCGATGGATCCGGTCATTTTGGCATGTGGCAAGATGAGGTGTTAGACGCTTTATTCCAACAAGGTCTAGACATCGCCATTGAGGAAGAAAAGCCCGAATATATGGAGGAGAAAGAATGGGGAATAATCAATCGTTTGGCGTGCAGCACGATTCGATCTTGTCTTTCCAGGGAGCAGAAGTATGGCTACAAGAACGAGACTTCTGCAAGTAAGATGTGGAAAGCTTTGGAGAAAAAATTCCTGAAGAAAAGCTCTCAGAATCGTCTCCACATGAAGAAAAGATTGTTCAGATTTGATTATCAACCAGACTCCAGTATGAATGAACACATCACTACGTTCAATGAGCTAGTGGAAGACTTATTGGGCATGGATGAAACCTTCAAAGATGAAGATTTGGCTTTGATGTTGTTGTCATCTCTTCCAGATGAATTTGAGCACCTTGAGACAACGTTACTTCATGGTAAGGATAATGTTACCCTTGAAGATGTAATTGTTGCTTTGTATAGTTATGAACTCAGGAAGAAAACCGAGAAGAATAGCAAGTACGAAGCAGCAGAGGCCATGGTGGCAAGAGGTCGCTCGAAAAGTCAAAAGCCAAAGTGTTGAGGGAGATCAAAGTCGAAGTCCAGACTGGGAAAAGATGAATGTGGCCATTGGAAGAAAGATTGTCTGAAGCTAAAGAAGAAAGGAAAAGCTGCTCCAGATGCATGTGTTACAGAGCATGATGCACATGACTCTGACATATCATTGGTTGCTTTATCAACAACATTCCATTCCGATGAGTGGATATTAGATTCGGGTTGCACCTATCATATGTCCCCTAATCGAGAATGGTTCTCCGATTTAGTGGAACTAAATGCAGGAGTTGTTTATATGGGCAATGACAATGCCTGTAAAACTGTTGGGATAGGTTCAATTCGATTGAAGAACCAAGATGGATCAACCAGAGTTCTGACGGATGTCCGATACGTGCTCAGTTTGAAGAAAAAGCTCATCTCGTTGGGATCCTTGGAATCCAAAGGCTCAGTAGTCACTATGAGAGATGGAGTTTTAAAAGTCACATATGGCGCACTTGTGATGATGAAGGGCATCAGGAAAAATAATTTGTGTTACTACCAAGGTAGTACAATTATTGGAGCAGTTGCAGCAGCTTCCGGAGGTGATGATTTGGACGTAACCAAGTTTTGGCATATGCGGTTGGGACATGCTGGAGAGAAATCCTTGCAAATTCTGGCAAAGAAAGGATTGTTGAAAGGTGCAAAGGCTTGCAAATTGAACTTTTGCGAGCATTGTGTTCTGTGAAAGCAGAAGAGAGTGAAGTTTGGCACCACTATACATAATACAAAAGGTATTGTAGATTATATTCACTCATATGTATGGGGTCCTTCAAAGACATCGTCTTTGGGAGGAAACCATTATTTTGTAACTTTTGTAGATGACTTTTCCAGAAGAGTTTGGGTGTATCCGATGAAGTCTAAAGATGAAGTGCTTCAAATTTTCCTGAAATGGAAAAATATGATCGAGAACCAGACTGGTAGAAAGATCAAACGTCTTAGGACGGACAATAGAGGGGAATATAAAAGTGACCCATTCTTTGACGTTTGCCATAAGTATGGTATTGTTCGACACTTCACTGTTAGACATACACCACAACAGAATGGGGTAGCAGAGCGTATGAATCGAACACTATTGGAGAAAGTTCGATGTATGTTGCCTAATGCTGGGTTAGGCAAGGCATTTTGGGCTGAGGCTGTGACATATGCTGACCATCTCATCAATCGTCTGCCGTCATCAGCGATAGGAGGAAAAACACCATTGGAGGTATGGTCTGGAAAACCTGCTACTGATTATGGTTCCTTACATGTATTTGGATCCACTGTTTATTATCATGTGAAGGAATCCAAACTTGATCCGAGAGCAAAGAAGGCTCTCTTTATGGGAATAACCCATGGAGTGAAGGGATTCCGCCTTTGGTGTTTAGACACCAATAAGATAATTTGTAGCAGAGATATTACCTTTGATGAATCTGCCCTAGTAAAGAATGTAACAAGTGAAGCTGTCCAGACAAGTAGTACTCCGCAGTAGGTGGAGCATACTCCAAAACAGGTGGAGTTTCAGCAGACGATGATCCCAGAAGTTGATGCAGCTGATTCTTCAACTCCAATAGAAGAATCAGAAGATGAAGAGGTTCAAAACCAAGAACCATTGGAGACACCAGAACCACTTGCAGTTACAAGGCCAAGGAGAGAAATTCGTAGACCTGCTCGATTGTCGATATGGTGGCCTATGCTCTTCCAATTGTTGATGATGATATCCCTATCACTTACCAAGAAGCAATACAAAGCTTGGAAAGTGATAAGTGGAAAAGTGTCATGGATGAAGAAATGCAATCTCTCCAAAAAAACAACACTTGGAAACTGACACAATTACCGAAAGGTAAAAGAGCGATTGGATGCAAGTGTGTATTTGTAAAGAAAGATGAATCTCATAGCAAGAAAGATGTTCGCTACAAGGCACGGTTGGTAGCTAAAGGCTACACTCAAAAGGAGGGAATCGACTACAATGAAGTAATTTCCCCTGTTGTGAAGCATTCCTCCATTAGAATATTATTGGCCTTGGTAGCACAGTTGAATTTGGAGCTAGCTCAACTTGATGTAAAGACGGCTTTCTTGCACGGTGATTTAGAAGAGGAGATCTATATGACTCAATCAGAAGGATACAAAGATGGTAGTTGTGAGAAATGGGTTTGTAAGCTGAACAAATCCTATATGGATTGAAGCAATCTCCGAGGAAGTGGTACAAGCGATTTGATAGCTTTATGAGGAGGCAAAAGTATACTAGAAGCAAATATAATCATTGTGTGTATTTGCAAAAGCTCAAAGATGGATCTTTCATTTATCTTCTCTTGTACGTTGACGATATGTTAATCGCTTCGAAGAGTCAAAAGGAGATAGACAAATTAAAGGCTGAGTTGAATCAAGAGTTTGAGATGAAAGATCTAGGTGAGGTCAAGAAGATTCTTGGTATGGAGATAAGCAGAGATAGACAGAGAGGGAAACTTTGTTTAACACAGAAGCAGTATCTGAGAAAGGTATTACAATGTTTTGGCATGAATGAAAATACCAAACATGTAAGTATCCCATTGGCTTCTCATTTGAAACTTAGTTCTCAATTATCTCCTAAAACTAACGAAGAACGAGTGTATATGGCAAAATTTCCATATGCTAATGTAGTTGGGAGCTTGATGTATGCAATGGTGTGTACGCGTCCTGACATTTCACAACCAGTTGGAGTTGTGAGCAGGTACATGCATGATCCTGGAGAAGGATATTGGCAAGCTGTGAAATGGATTCTATGGTATCTCCAACAAACCGTGGATGTTGGTTTAGTTTTTGAACAGGATGAAGCACTTGGTCAGTGTGTGGTTGGATATGTTGATTCCGATTATGCTGGTGATTTGGATAAGCGTCGATCAACTATTGGGTATTTGTTTACTCTTGTTAAAGCCCCAGTAAGTTGAAAGTCTACATTGCAATCTACGGTGGCCTTGTCTACTACAGAGGCAGAATACATGGCAGTTTCAGAGGCTGTAAATGAAGCAATTTGGCTTAATGGGTTGATGGAAGACTTGAGAGTTGTTCAAAGTCACATTAGTCTCTATTGTGACAGTCAGAGCGCTATTCACTTAGCGAAAAATCAAGTCTACCATTCAAGGACTAAGCATATCGACATGAGGTATCACTTTGTGCGGGAGATCTTTGAAGAAGGAAATATTCTACTTCAGAAAATTGCGACATCAGAAAATCCTGCAGATATGATGATCAAGGTGGTAACAGTAATCAAGTTCAATCATTGTTTAAACTTGATTAACATCCTGAAAGTATGAACACATTCGGGTGTGTGGCGCTTATGAGCGCAATTAGAGGCACTACAAATTTGGGGAGTTGAAGAAGATGAGTAGGCTTGGTAATTTCAAGCCAAGGTGGAGCTTTGTTAGATTTGTCTAAAAATTAAGTTGACAAGTAGGAAATTTCATCTTAGTTGGTGGTCAACTTATTGGAAATTTCATCTTGGTTAGTAGCCAAACTTTGAACATGTGAATTTCATATTTGGTGGCTAACTTGTACACATTGGAAAATTCTTTGGTAGGTGGCCAAACTTTGAACATATTATTCTTAAAACTCAACTATAAATAGGCCTAAGTATTTCCATTAGAAATCATCCCAAAAACAAGTTCTCTCTTCCTCTTGTATTTTTCATTCTCCCACTTTGGGAATTCTAAAGAATTTCATTTGTTGTAATATTGGCAATATAGTGAGGTTATCATCTGGTGTGGTGCCCGAGGAGTAGACGATATTCTCGTCGAACCTCGTAAATTTGGTGTGTTCGCTCCTTTATTGTTTTTATTCGGTTCTTTTCCATTGTGTTTTAATATTTAATAGTTTGACAGGTTTATCCATTGTGCAACCTTTGGTGGTTTTAATCTTGACATTTTAGGTCAATTTTAAAACTACGTTCGTGTGGGAAATAACCCGTTTTCCCCAACAATCAATGTATTCCTTCTCAATGGCATAATTGTGTGGCAATACTGTTGTGTTTATGCTATCCAAACTGATGCGAGTTGCAATAATAATGCACAGAAAGGGGAAATGATGAACGTTGTAGTGTACCTTGAACTTGCTATACGTTCGGGTGAAACGGCTGCAACTCATGTAAAGAATGTAATCCTCTGGTAACTATCAGGACGTTCTCATGACCAGGCCCTGCTTTTTATGAAAATTGGCGTGCTTTTCCTTCATATCAATGAGTAACACCCTAACTGTTTACCGAACGTTCTGATCATGTAATTGCTTCTTCCGCCCTTGCAAGTTTCAACACTTGCGTAGGAGGTAATGAAATTTGGACTCTAGAATTACCTTTTATAGAAAGGTTTGGCTACTCTAGGCTACCACCGTTAGGTTATTGCCTCAACCATGTTTGTTCATCAGGTCACCTGTTTCAGTTGCTAATATAATAGTGCTCTAAATGTTATTAATCGATTCAATTATACAGAATTCAATATTCATACTTATTTAATAATGTCAAGCCAATGGCTTGGTCATTTGATGTTTGATGAACATTTTGCAGACTACGGTGATCAACTCAAAGCTTCGTGATCATCCCGTTTTGGATAGGCTTTGCTGCAATGTCGTCCTTGAGCTCTGAGGAAACATCGATGGCTGGTGAGCAATTAAAGAAGCCGTGTGGCTGCATTGCAGATAGCAAGGGTTAGCTTCAAAAATCATGCTTTTATCAACCAAGCTGTAAAACTACTACTTAATGTTGTTTTCCCCCTTTCCACATAACATTTTTTATTGCAAGCGGAAGACCGCGACATGCAATCTTATTATTGCAAGAGTGGGAGCGTAACGACCCTCACCTTGACGAACCTTGCCTATGCTATATACTAAAGCTGCTAAAGAAAAAAAATGAAAATTGAACTAGCTTGAAATGCATGATCCCGGACTAGAGTCCTCTAGGAAGAGCCGGGCTATTTCTTTCGAGCATTTTGTTTAACATGCAAACCTATCATGATAGCGAATAGTGTCTAAAGGGAGCAATGTGTCGACAACATCGTTAAACTAGATAAAACGGTAGTTAACAACGGTGGACGACTTTATGAGTCTATAATCAATCGGAAAAAGATCGTATCAGAAACTTAATTTCTGAGCCACGTGTCTCAGAACACGACTACGATAAATGTAAGCAACAGAATGGATTACCGTCCATGTAAACATTTTCTGAATATTCAAAACTAACAAACTTGACTCAATTTTATTATGGGCCAGTTTAATATGAGTCTAAACGACACAGTCAGATTAGATTTTAAACCGTTGATCTTCGAATTAAAAACACGTCCTCTTTTATCGGATTAATAGAGAGCAAGGCTGTTAAACGCTTTTTAAAGATTTTTCTTTCATGGTAACTTGGTTATTAAACATCAAATTTTAAGTATATCTTGTAAAAGAAGTAACAAATGACGACGATCTGAATCGTTGAGATGCTGCATGAACTGAATTGTACACTTTCCAACAGACTAACCAGAAAAAAACCAATCGACAACAAGCAACAACTAGCAGATGATACACTGATAAGCAGAGAGTGGAGATCAGCATTTACCAACTTCAAGTATCAATCGAAGAGCACATAAATTAAATACTAAACAGCAGATGTTATCAAAGAACAATGAAGCAAACAATAGATGTACAATAACCAGAAGAAAAACAGAGTGAAGTAAAGTGCAAATCCAAATTAATAGTTTATTGAAGTAATCACGAAGGTGGTCGGAGTTGAACTGTGTATTTATCCCGTTTTTGAGATCTCAAAATTAATATTTATAATTAAAAATAATTTATCTTAATAAATAAATATGTTTGAGTTAAGATATAATTAACAAGTGTATTTAGAGTAGGACTCTGCTTTTGTTATAAATTTAATATTTTATAAAATTAATAATTATAAAAAGAGAACCAATACTACTATATAAATAAAACATTTAAATTTCATAATAAAAGTTAAAAGATATAATTGGAATAGGATTTGTGTGTTTGGTTTTGTTATGGACAATGACTTGTACGCAAACCACTGTATAAATAAGCCAGTCAAGTAAGTTCTCCTTCAACGATCTATTCTCCTCCTTCAAGTCAAAACAAAAGGCATGGCAAGTTTCGTTTCCTCCTCTATTCTCCTGCTCTTCCTGTTCTTTCCCATTGTCATGCCCCTGCCTCTGTCGACGAATTCACGTTGGATTATGGGCGAGGGAGGACGACGCGTGAAGCTGGCATGCGTGAACTGGTCGTCTCACTCAGAACTGATGCTTGCCGAAGGGCTCAGCAAGCAGCCTATGGATACGATCGCCAAACAGATTGTGTCAATGGGGTTCAACTGCATTAGGTACACTTGGCCAGTCTATCTGCTCACCAATGATTCGTTGGCATCTCTCACCGTTAGACAATCGTTTCAACAATTCGGCTTCATTGATGTCCAAGCCAACAACCCTTCCATCATCGATGTCCCCCTCATCAAAGCTTACCAGGTTGACAGATTTTCCATGTCCTTGTTTTCTCCGATCAGCTTTGAATAAACATGTCTCAAACTTTACGGCATTGATTTATTGATTGATATTAATATTTCAGACAGTGGATCAAACTTAGGGAAACACAATTTGATGGTCATACTTGACAATCACATCAGCAAACCCGGTTGGTGCTGCAGTAATCTTGATGACAATGGTTTCTTCGGCGACAAGTACTTCAACCCAGATCAATGGATCACCGGGCTGACGCGGATGGCCACCTTATTCAACGGCGTCACCAACGTGGTCGGCATGAGCTTGAGGAACGAGCTAAGAGGCCCGAGACAGAACGTAAACGACTGGTATAAGTACATGCAGAATGGAGCCGAAGCAGTGCACTCGGCAAACCCGGATGTTCTCGTTATACTTTCTGGATTTGATTTCGACAGAGACTTGTCATTCATCAAGACTCAACCCGTAAAACTCACGTTTAGTGGGAAACTAGTATTCGAGGCGCATTGGTATGGATTCTCCGATGGGCCGCAAACATGGGTGACCGGAAACCCAAACGAAGTTTGTGGCAGAGTGTCGACACACATGATGAAGACATCTGGGTATTTGGTTGATCAAGGATACCCGTTGTTCATTGGCGAGTTCGGGATCGACCAAACAGGAGCCAATGTCAATGGCAATAGCCAATAGGTACTTGAACTGCTTCTTGGGCGTGGCAGCGGAGCTTGACCTGGATTGGGCCTTGTGGACACTGACCGGGAGCTATTACGTGAGAGAAGGCGTCGTCGGGTTAAACGAGTATTACGGACCTTGGATTATAATTGGTGTGCACCCAGGAATTCGAGCTTCATACAAAGAATTTCAGCTCTCCAAGCTCCTTTCCGGGGTAAGCCAACGTATATTAAAGTTTCCTTTTTTCTTTTGTTTTAATTTGAGAATGATGTGAACCGGAAAAAAAAATCAATACTAATCTTTCGTTATTCCGCAATGACATATGCAGGTCCGGGACTGTCGGAAGTCAAACCGCACAAAGTGATCTTCCATCCCTTAACAGGGCTTTGTATCACAAGGAAATCATTCGACCACCGGTTGCGGTTAGGTCCATGCACCAACTCCTATGCTTGGAGTTACTCCCCCCATAAGACTTTACTAGTAAATGGAACACATTATTGTTTACAAGCCAACGGATCCAGGACATCTGGAAAGATCGGCATCTTTTGCACCGGCTCGAATTCGAAATGGGAAATGATATCGGATTCCAAGATGCATCTTTCGACTAAGCTCGGAGATGGAAAATCCATTTGCCTTGATGTAGCGCCAGACAAGACTATCATCACAAATAGTTGCAAATGCATAAGTAAAGACAACACATGCGACCCTTCGAGCCAGTGGTTCAAGCTTGTGGACAGCACAAGGAGCAGCAAAAGAGTGAAACGATCTTTGTTGCAATAGTTAGCTGGAAAGGGTAGCCTTTGGGTATAGAGTTGCATGGGAAGCAACTTGTGATCAATCAATGGGAGGCATATAGTCAATGGTAGAAACAAGAAAGGCATGTCGTCGCCATTTTCATCAAGCATTTAGTTTTAGTTTTAATTTTATTTATTTCAAAATGTATAGAAATTAGGTTCAAGTTGATTGATCAATAAAAAAACAGTAATCATTTCATCAATTCAAAGAATCGGTCGGCCAAAACAAACATTTGGAGTGAGCTATTTGTTTCTTAGATAGACTAAAACTTCATCTTCCGAACTAAAATTTAAGTAGACTCCAAGTACCCTATTTGAATAAATCAAAATTCAAAAAGATTAACTTTTCGAATCAAATCGAATTCATTCTTAATCAAAAGTACATACAACTAAGATAATATGTCATTGTTATGCCTCACGGTATATGCAACCGATCATCTCCACCATGCTACAAACATTCTTCAGTTGTGTTCAAATCATTCAATATTTCATTCTTAATGTCTTCCGGTAATGGAGCAGAGGGCCCTGCCTTGGAGTAGAAACTGGCCAAAGACCTGATCGCCTTTTCGAGCTCGATATATGATTCCTCGCGAACCACCTTCTCTTGTCCCCTCCAATTACTCAAATACTCTCGGATCGACTCTTTTGCGGAATCTGCTGTTCGTCTAAACTTTGCGACATCCTTGGGATCCTCCTGCAGCGATTCACGGAGTGTCTTCACTACTTCTCGAACTGACTTTACATAGGCCTTTGGTAACACTTTTCCGGACTTCGTTTTCTCATTAGGATCCAACAATGACTTGATAGCCCCTACAACTCCATCATCCTCTTCCTTTCGGTCATCTGATTCAGCCCGTACTGGTAATATTGGAGTTAAAACACAGTTGAAGGTCGCAACAGCCAACAATGAAGCAGCTGTACGTGCTATTATGTGACGACGACTCGATAAACACGATGCAACAACGTAACACCTGAACTGCAATTTACCTGCTGTGTTGAAGAAAAGAGAACAGTCAACAAATAATCGAAATTGATGAGCAACAAGTGCCTTCCACTTAACCAGCAACAAAACATTGGTGCAAACAAAGCTTAATAAAGGCAAATCAGAAACATAAACATAAACAATCAAGTATTCAAATATACCAGCACTGCACATTGCACTCCCAAAGAGAACTCAGATTCAAACCATGGATACGACATCGTCGGGAGAGGTAATCATGAACCTCGAACATGGACCGTAAAAGATACAAAAAGAAACAAGAAAACCAGAACTGCAGGTAAAAGAGTAGTTGGAAATTGTTGCTCACATTCATTTTCAGGTTTCTTCATTGAGTTGCCATTAGGGACACAAATATTTTCTGCAAGATTAAGAGCCATTCTATGCTGTATCTCAAAACAATTTGGGTACTTTACATGAGTGTATTCTGGGAAGCAGCTACAGTTTCTTGGCCAAAGTGGTTACCTTCATGCCAAACAATCAAGAGTTTACACAAATCCATTCTCATTTTCTTTCCAAATGCAAGAATCATATCCAAATTTGACTGATTTTACCGAAAACTGAAGCATAAGAAAACTAAGATAATAATAACTACATGAAATTCATGGGAATGGTATCATAGATGTTGAGAAACATATACAACGAAGAAAACCCAATTTATATAAATTGAAAATTTGACATTGCAAATGCAGTTAACGGATGCTTATGGAGAAGAAAGTACCTAAAAATAAATAAATAAATAAATAAATAAAAGGAGTTGAAATGGATTTAAGAGATTGCATACCTCTCCACAATAACCTCCACCTTTAACTTGTTTTCTGCAGAACTTTTATCCAAACGGAGACGGGGAGATTGAGGGATGAGTTCGTCATTTTACTTAATTTCACCATTTTTTTCCCAGGAAAAAAAAACTTCTTTGTATTTTTGGGTTAAGAGAATAGTTTTATTAGGCCTACAGAACCATGCTGAAAGCCCAAGCTATGTCCCCCACTCTTCCTTCATTAAACTCAAGATTTTTAAATATAAATTTAAAATGAATATAAGATAGAATTCGTTTAGATATTTTTAAATTTTTAGTAATAAATTTTATACTTTAAGATGCTCAACTTTAAAATCTTAAAAGATAAGAATAAACTCCTTAATTATTAAAATCATTTAATAATTGAATTAAGTGAAATTGATTATTGAAATTAAAATTTTTCAATTAAAAATAATTTATTTATTTTTATAAAAAGTGATAATGATGCAATCTAATATTAGTTCATCTACCACATCTCTTCCACCTAATGCTGCAATTTCAATCCACATCATCAGCAAAGCCTTAATAGGATAAATTACAGTAATTATTCTACACCGTACACGATGTTTAACTCTATCCTCCGATGACCATGTCCTTCCCTTTTATGGGATTTCTCAAAACTCGCTCGGATAAAATGACCAACTCCAAACATTCTGCCATCTAAAAATATGGTGTTTGGTTATTGAAAATAAAAATAAATATTCCATTGGGTTAAATTGAATTAAAAAATTATACATTATTCAAGATGATAAATCTTGTTTTATTTGTAAATTTTTTTTAAATCAAATTTATAAAATTTAAATCAAGTCAAATTGTTTGAATTTATGTTCAAATTGTTTGAATTTCTATTTATAATATTATTTAATTTTAATTTAAACAATTTTCTATAACATATAATATACATATATATATATTTCTTTATATTTTTTCATATATGTCATATAGAATAGAAAGAATCAATTCAAACTTACAAATCAATCCAATAATTACCAAATATTTTGAGTTATTCGAATTATTATTCAGGTTATTCAAATTGTATTTTATAACTCGACTTAAAATTCAAGTTAAATTTATGAAAATATGACTAAAAATTAATTCGAGTCTAGCTTTTACGGAGTCAAGTTAGAAAAATTGATTTTTCAAATCAAAATTTGCTCACCCTAACTGGAAGTTCCAACTGCTCACACGTTCGAAAGATCTCTTAACATGAATATTAATGGACTTTCTGCAGAAACAGTTGTTTTCAATGGAATTTGGACAAATTTTCAGGGAATTTTGTGTGGAGTGACACAGGAAATAGCTTATTTCGCTACTCTGAAAAATGATGCATTTCATGGTCTGAACATTTCACCACCAAAAGTTGGTCATATTTCAAGCCAGGCAAAGTAAACAAACTCGACTCGATCAAACCCTGATTTTCATGCTCCCTATCAGCCGTAAATTAAGCATATGATAGCAAAGAGGAAGGAGGTTCTGCATCCCCTTCCTACAATCAAAACAGCCTTATAAAATAATTAACAATAAACATAAAACCATTATTAAATTTCTTATTCCCAAAATGCAAATACAAAACCATGCATTTAGACCACTAACTTGTCAATCAGAAAACATAAAAAGGACCATAACCATAAGGCATAGTATTAAGCTGCGACCTCGGCCACATCATAACAATTTTCAAGATCATCGAACCACAACATCACATCTACAATTTAGAAACATTGTGATTTTGAAAAACAAATCACACCCGCAACAACTGTTTTGCTAAACCATAACCACATCCATAACAGACACTGCAACCGCAATTTAGTACAATGTCATAAGCATCTCATAGGGCAAATACTCAATGCAACGAAATTCAACAATAGTCCACAAATCTATTGATATATATAATTCAACAAAAGAGGCATCCTTAATGCAACGAAATTCAACAATGCAAACCAAATAGAACACGCATGGTAACCCAGATCGTCAAATATTTAATATATAATTGGCCAAAATAAAATGAAATATCATTTCAAGTTTAACTCCAAACAACAAAGGATAATAACTTAACAGAACGGTCATTCGAATCTCAAAAAAAGAAACTGAAAAAGCTAACCTAGGCGGTGAGCACAACAGCACCACCAGCCTCCCTAATCTTCTTCTCTGCAGTCTTGGAAACCAACTTAGCCTTGACCACGATGGGTTGGTTCTCGGGCAAGAGACCTTTTCCGAGGACCTTAAAGTAGCCGTACTGGGTCACGTCGATCATCGGGGCGGCGTCCTTGTTGGCTTTAGACTTCACGTCTTGCGGGACGAGAGACCATAACTTGTCGATGTTGACGATGGGGCAGTAGAACTTGTTGCGTAGCTTGTGGAAGTACCTCATACCGACTTTCCCGAAATACCCAGGGTGGTACTTGTCGAAGAGGATCCTGTGGTGGTGCATGCCTCCGGCGTTACCGCGACCTCCCGGGTGCTTGCGATGCTTGCCGATACGGCCGTGACCGGCGCTAACGTGGCCGCGCTTCTTGCGGTTCTTCTTGAAGCGGGTTGTCATTTCTGGGATCTGTGTGGAACTTGAGGAAGGGTACACAGCGGCTGTGAGAGGCAAAATGAAAGTAGGGTTATTGGGGGGTTTTTATTTAGTAGAAGAGGCTAATATTTCCCAAGTTTGCCATTACTCTCTAGGGTTTTTGGTGGTTCGGCCCTTACCACTTTGGGCTAGAGTCTATATATGATGACAGTTGATGGGCTCCAAAGTGATAGTTTAAAATAGGGTATATAGGGTATATTACATCAAGGGTCACTTAATTATAGACTTGATAACAACAAGTCACTTTTTTAAAGTCACAAACACGTCAGTTGTTAATCAATTAAGATATTACTGCAAACAAGTCATTTTGTAGTTAAATATTAGTAACATTATTTGATATAATAATATTTTTAGTTCTTAGAATCTATATAATATATCAATTTGATCATAATACAAAATAGTTTAATAAATTTAATCATTCATATTTAACGATTTCACCATTCTAGTTTTTATTCATCTCCTAAATTATTTAGTCTTATCCCATAAATGTTATATTACTTGTTACTTTCCTAATATAATAACAGTTAAACAATAACTTATTGTTATTTTTATGACATAATGCAGTTATCCAATTATTGTTTTGATATGATGGATTTGCTTAATTTGACAATATAATAAAACAAGACTAAAATTAATGGAAATTTTAAATATAAAGAATTAAATTTATTGAATTATTTTAAATTTGGATAAAATTAATAGAATGTACAAGTTCTAGGACTAAAATGTTATTATACTAGGTCACATTAGATATATGTTTTAATTTTAATGGCATAACAACATATTTGTAACAATATTTTATTTGAGTAACTTGTTTATAACTTATAAAATATAAATGGATTATTTTTCGAAAATAAATTACTAAATCCATAATTAAAGCCTTGAAAATATTGTATTTGTGTGTGCGATGTATGTCTTTATCGGTTTTATATTCAAAATTTGCGGCTGTTTTTTTCTAATAACGTTGTTTTTAATGTCAACATGAATTTTTTTATTACTAGTGTAAATGCATTTTACCACCACATCTGAATATCTGATAGTTATGGGCAATGTTTATACATTCTCATAATCATTCATACTTATAGATTTCAACGTCTTACGAGTACGTGATAATCTCTTTGATGTTTACATGACCATACTTTATCTTAATTTTATTATTGTACGACTCGATTATGAAATTAAAACTTGTTGGAGAAATTCAAGTAACAATCCTGCGTGTAAAACCCGAGTGTTTAAGCCTTGCACAACCCAGTTTTCATTGTTTTGTATCATCTGTCTGATGAAGAAGAGTGCACTCTTTACCCAAGAAATCGTCCACCAATCATTGACCCTTCGGTGGTAATCAAGTTTCTTTCAAGTACTTAACGTCAGACTCTAAGAAATTTGGTTAATGAAATACTTCAGCAAAGAAATAACCAGTACCCGATTCAACATCCACCACATACATCATGTAATCTTGCTTCATAAATACATCATTAATATCACATCAACAAGTCATTATAAATAATTAAATGAACATATATATCTATATATCATGATCCAACAATACCAATCATGGAGGAGTTCGTTTCTGTTTACGACACGACTCATTTCTGTAGAAAAACTGCCGCTCCCACCAAGCCAAACCATACTGTCAAAGCGATCCAAAACGCCCTGTTCTTCTCCAGTCCGGCCGGAGGCCGCCACACCAGAAAATCACCCAGAAAGTCTTTGGACCACGGAAGCTCATTGGTCGTCAATCCGATTGCCTTTTGATCCTTGTCCTTGTTCTTATCAGTCCATGTTGCTGCATAGCTGAAAGTTTTCAAATAATGCATGTAATTAGCTCTAATTATTACCTACCAAAGTTGAAAATGGTGAACATGTAAATATTCAGAGATGGAAAATAATAGTACAATACTAGGCAGAAGCTGGTTATTAAATCTGGGCACAGAGAAAGGTTAACAAGGTTCAAGAATGAATAATAGCAAGCTAGTTAAGAACTCTTAAGACTTAAAGTTTATGTCCCATGAATTTTGCGAAAAGGTTAATGGTTCTGTAATAAGTGATATCGGAACGATCTTTTGATTGTATGATTTCACATCTAGCATATCAATATATGAGTGGGGTAGATAAGATGGATAACCGTGATAATGGCTCGTGATCAGAGAATCACAAATTAAATGAGAGAATTTCACGCCTTGGAAAGGTGAAGAATATTAATCTCATAACAGAAAGAAAGTTGAAGATCTTAAAGTTCAAAAGCAGTGTCACTAAACCATCAGACATGTCCAAGAAGGGAGTATATGATAAGAACTTTTGAAATCTCATGTTTGAGACTATAAAGTATGAAACTCGGATACAAACTTGAAACCAAAAACGGAGGTATTAAAAGTATGAGAAAGACAGTACGACTTAATCTCTCATATTATTTAATATATAATCTGATTCCATCCCTAGTTTGAACTCATATAATATTCTCAGAACTGATGAATATCATCAGATGCCATTCCCAGCAAAACATGCGAGACTGAGGAAGAAAATAAGTATTTGCTTACTCTCAAAACAACAAGGTAACAGATGCAAATAGGGAATAAATGAAATGTGGATTAATCAACATAAAAGCAAGGGTCATTTAATGTCAATTGCTGCATTATTTTATGCAATATTCAAAAAGACAAAAAGAATATATACCTGTCGTAACTAGAACCAATCAGCGGTATAGTAACCATCTCTTCTTGTGAAATCTTCAGTTTGGGTGCTTGCAAAATGTATCGGAGCTCGGCAGCTTGCCGTCGAATGCTCACACTAGGATGCTTCTTCTCCAATTGCTGGTACAGAGCAATGCAGTCCGCGTGGCGGTTATTCGCCTCGTAAGCCATTGCCAGCCATATCTGAATCTGACACCACAAAAGAGAATAAAGAAAATATGTTGTTTAGTCTTTGACAATTCTGCTAAACACCGCTCAAATTTCAAGTGGCCTTGACTTTAACGGCGTTGCTATCAACCAACCTCACCGCCAAATAATGTCAGCCTGGGAATGATGGTCAGAGCGGCTTCGAGAAACTCAATGGCGCGTCCGTACATGCCTCTTCCGTAAGCCTTTTGGCCCAATTCGAACATCAATTGTGCCGTTGCTCTCCTCTCCGCCTGTTCCTGAGCCACCTGTTCTCACACAGCGATCTAAATCAGATTAGAATCAAAGTTTGAATTTGAATTTGAATTTGAATTTGAATTTCTAATGCAAATTAATTCATTTTATGTAGCAATGGAAGAACGAAGAAGGCGCGAAAGACCTTTTCGAGCTCTTTTCTCACTCTCAGCTTTTTCTCCTCCTCGGTTTCTTCTCTATCTTCGCCTTCACTTTCCTCTGCTTCCGCTTTATTCTGCAACTCCTCGGCTTTCTTCTCCAGCTCCCTCATCTCCTCAATTTCTTTAACTCTCTTTCTCATTTCATTCTCCCAATTGTACTCCTCCTCTTCCTCCTCAAATCCGTTTCCGTTTCCGTTGCCGTTCCCATCGTCGTCACTGGACGCAGCGTCGAAATCCACCGCCTTCGATTTGCCACGAGCCACCGCTCGGTGTGACCGACTCTCCCCGTCCCAGCATTCGTGTTGGCTCTTGCTGGATAGAGAAGCGTGGGAGAAATGAGGATCTCTCTTCTGTAAGTTCAAAACGATGTCGACCGCCGAGGGACGGGACTTTCGGTCTGTTGTTATAACTGTCCTCACTGACGTCACGTCCAGTAACAAAGCTAAGTTTCCAATAACCACAGCCATGGCCGGAGTCCGATAGAAAGAGATAGAGAAGAAAGGAAATATATGGCGTTCCAGTTAACAAAACCGCCGTGAATGTGTAGATATTTTTAGAAAGTTGGTTTTTTTTTGTCTCGATGACTAAATTACCCTTTCATCTGCTTTAAAACTGAATAAACTCTTGGTTTAATTATATATTCATCCCTCTACTTTATAAAAACAAGAAATCAGTGCAACTACAAGTAGACAAATGACTTTAAACTACTGGTTTTTTTATCTGTTACATATATAATTATAACTTTTTCAATTTTATTCATATAAATGGTTGGACCATTAATCTCTTCATTAAAATAGTTACGTATTTAACTTACTTTTAATATTATGTAAGATTTTATTTAGTGATAATTTAGTATTCTAATAATCTTAATATCTAAATATTAATAATCTATTGAATGATCACAATGATTAAATGGAGATTGTTCTATCTTAAATTCTCAAATTCGACCAACTACGTCTAAAAGGTGTGTGTTATCAATGGGTGTGTCTTCAAACCAAGTTAAGAAGGCTTTATATTTGTCTTCAAGTGGTATGAACCTATGATTTTGAATGACTCCAAATGCAATCAGATTGTGCGAAAAGTAGTGCAGTTAGTCTTTGCCTCGAGCGTAGACTTCAACCCTTTCCCTCTAATAAAAGTCATATATGTTATTCAAAATCAAACTTGGTTTATGAATTTTTTTTTGATTTCATGAGAATCTAACATAGTGATTACCGATGAAGATGCCACTCTTGACCACTATCAAGTTTCATTACTTCATTGTGTACAATCCAACATCCAAATAGCTTGTTTCAAGAGATATATCGAGACTTTTGTATTATAAAATTATTCCTATTTAAACCATTGATTAAGCCATCTTTCAATTAAAAAAATGAAGGATAAATTTCTCAACTCTTTATAAAATCCGATGGATTAAATTGGGAATTAAACCAAAATAATAAATAATTCGTAGACGAGTGTAGCGGCTAAAAGCTTGATCCGTTCAAACACGTCATCGGAAATAATAATAATAATAATCTCCACGAACTGCAGTTGAGCACTCCACGCAACGCTGTCGTTTTATTGGGACGGATCTAACGGTGTGGATCTCAACACGAGGAAACCATTCGAAACACAAAAAACTTTTAAAAAAGGAGAAAATTAAAAGATCCGTCAACGCGCGCACTTCCCACATGCACCACGCGCGAGAATTTGTGTCAAATAATCAAGCAAAAGTCTACCTCACTTGCCATTCGCCCCGTGCCTTAAATCGCAGCCGTTTCTTCGCAGCAACACATGGGCCAGAAGCTAAAGATTTTGAAAAACACTTTGCTTTATCCCCAAACAAACTCCCTCCATTACTCCGTCCAATGGCGCTTCTCCTTTGCTGCAACGCGAGGTTAAACCCTTGCCGTCGTTCTTCGTCTCATTACGAGGGGCGGTTCCATTTCGTTAACCGTCGGACTCTCCGATTTTCGAGGAGAGGTGAGGTCTCGATTTGTTCCAGGAGGATAAGCCTTCGGTTACCTCCTCTGAAATCGTCGTCTTCGGTTAACGGATTCCCGCTAGAGACGAATCTAGAACACTTTAAGGAAGAGCATACGGTAGAGAGTGTGGAGTTGCGAGAGAGAATCCGGAAATGGATCGATTTTCTCCGATCTGTGTTGCCAGGAGGGAGCTGGTGGAACTTCTCCGATGAAGTGGAGGTCAATTTAGTGGCTAAACCGGTGACGGTTTGGCGGGCTCTTGGTCGAATGTGGCAATTGATTGCTAATGATCGTTTGGTTATTTTCGCTGCTTTTTCTACCCTGATTGTGGCTGCTGTAAGTATAGTGTAATAATTTTTTATTAGTTCTTAATTTGTTTGATGGAATTAATAACTCTGGTTGCCGGTGAATTTTTTAGTTTTTTGCTTTCTAATTATGTAAACTGATTGATGCATATATTGGTTCAGCTTTCGGAAATATCTATTCCACATTACTTGACGGCATCCATATTTTCGGCACAGACTCGTGAAATAGCGACGTTCCATATGAATGTACGCCATCTGATTATGATGTGTGTTATCGCAGGAATATGCAGGTCAAAGTCTAGTATGGTCAGATCTCCCTTCTATATTAAGTTGCAATACTAAATATGGGATGTTCCTTTTCGTGTGGTCGCTACTAAAAGAATCTGAAATCATGCTTCTATCATTCTATGGTTGTTATCCCTTAATTGTTTGCGTGTATTAATGCTGAAAAAGGATTCACCATTGCATATGGCCAGACCAACATTTAGAAATTTTAGCACTTGCATGCTAGTTTCCGGTGAACATAAAAGTTTTAAATATTTTTGTTGGAATTTGAGCTTTCATGAAGGAAGAAGTAATAGTGGCTTATGCTTTGCTCGGTTCACTTGAATTTCAGTGGTCTGCGAGGATGCTTCTTTGGCATTGCAAATATGATCCTGGTGAGTTTCTTATGATCATTTGACTATTTAACATCCAATGCCTTCTCTGGTTTTCACATAGGGCCCTACGTTTTTGGGGTGTTTCTTGAGAATCACTGTTCAAAATTTTATTTCCATTTTTAGTTTGAATTTAGTGATGATCATAACATTTTTTTTCATGGAACATGACTGTAGGCCTGATTTCTTCCTGTAATATCCACAGGTTAAGCGAATGAGAGAAACACTGTATTCTGCTCTTCTTCTTCAGGTTCTGAATATATAAAAACTCAAATTCCTATAGGTTTTTGCTTGCAGTTAGACATGTTGGTTGTAATTATACATCTTTAGTTTGTTCTGTCAGCAAACTTTTACATCATATTTTCTACAGGATATATCCTTTTTTGATGGTGAAACAGTTGGTGATTTGACAAGTAGGCTTGGTTCAGATTGTCAACAAGTGTCACGTGTGATTGGGAATGATCTTAATCTGATTTTGCGAAATGTTCTTCAGGTTTGATACTGATCAAATAATTAATCTTTTTGTGCTTTCTGGAATAATGGGGATCTGATTAGCATTTCATTCTTCTTTTAGGGGACAGGTGCCTTGATCTACTTGCTGGTTTTGTCATGGCCACTTGGTTTATGTACATTGGTGATATGCTGTAGTCTAGCAGCAGTTATGACGGTTTATGGACTGTAAGATTTTTAAGTATCCTCACTTTTTGCTTCTTTACATTGAAGTTAATTTACTTTTCTTTTTTTTTTTTTTGTGAGTGAGAAGTTAATTTACTTAAATGTAAGAGGGGGTAGGTGTGATTAAATGGATGCATCGGAGGGTAACTAAAGATAATAGCTGGATTGAAGATATATCCGAATGCTATTAGTTAGTTAGTACTGCAAATTTACATGGTAGGTTTTAGGGGGTTGGAGGAAGGACAGATAACTGAAAATGTGTTTGGATTCTAAGAAAAATGATGCTTTGATTCAAACCGAGGATTTTGACTTGTAATAAACTAAAATTGAGATTGACACAGTTATCTTATTCTTGGTTTGCGGAGTAAGTGTAATTATTTTTTGAGAAAAAATATATTTTGTACTTGTGTAGGTACCAGAAAAAGACAGCAAAAATGATCCAAGAATTTGGTGCTTCTGCCAATGAGGTATTTAATATAAACCTTTCTATGTAGTTTGCATCCTGCATTTCTTTTCTGTTTCTAACAGTGGGGTGAAAGGTTTCTCACTATTTATTTCATAGGTGGCTCAAGAGACATTATCCTTAATGAGAACTGTTCGTGTTTATGGAACAGAGAAGCAAGAAATGAAAAGGTTAACTATTCCGCTATTTTTTTGGTCCAAATGTCATTGCTTTTTGATCTTTTCCTTTGATAGATATCGACAAAGATTTGATATGTTTATGATTAACAGGTACAATCATTTTCTGGATAAACTGGCTGAGATAAGCTTTCGGCAAAGTGCTGCCTATGGAATTTGGAATCTAACCTTCAACACTCTTTACCATGCAACTCAGGTTTGTGACCCATGGCTCTGTCCTTGCTAACAAGGAAGTGTAATATCATAAATGAAAGAAAATAGTAATGTACTCCTTTGATTATTGAATTCTCCTCTCTTTTTTCCTCCTTTCTCTATAGGTTATTGCTGTGCTGGTTGGAGGGATGTATATTCTTGGAGGTCATATAACAGCAGAGAAACTTACAAAGTTTATATTATACAGTGAATGGCTAATCTATTCAACATGGTGGATTGGGGATAATGTATCATCATTGATGCAATCTGTTGGAGCAAGTGAAAAGGTCTTCCAATTGATGGATCTTATGCCTAGTGATCAATTCATATCCAAAGGCAAGCATTTTATTTGCTTTGGTAGACACTTCATGACCTTTTTTTTTCCTTTCTGGAAAGCTCCTTCATTCACTTTTCTGTGATACATAGTATTCCATCAACATGGAGATTGCTGAATCTTAACTCCAACCCAGTAAAGCGTGTAGTTACATGGTTGAATATATTATTTCCCTTGATACATCTACTTGGATCAGACATTAAGGGATGTGTTGTTGCTACATAGTAACATTTTTGGCATATGGTACTTCAAATACATTTTGATTCACACAGGTTTTAGATAGAAGGTTTGAAATGATACTGAAGCATGTTACTTTTTAGTGGGCGACAGATATGTCACATGTGTGTAGAGAGAGCAATTATTATTGTTCTACATCATTCTTTCTCTCTATCAAAATAATAGATAATCTTACTCTATCAAAATAATAGATAATCTTAGTCTAGGGTGTGAGAAACATCGTTTTAGTCATTCATTAAATATTACGTTCATCTGAAATTCTCTTCAATGGCTGATATTATCATTCATTTAACTTGTATTACTTTGAATTTTGCTCAATTATAGGAATGACACTGCAAAAGCTGCTGGGATTTATAGAATTTGTAAATGTTTCTTTTCAATATCCTTCAAGATCAATGGTATGTTGTCCTTAGTATCACAAGTACTTAAAGGAACACCTTTCATTTGATAGTGTTGGCATTTCTATTATTTTAGTGCAGTGCAAATGGGGGTGGAACTTTCTTCTTGTAGATTTTTTTAAGAGAAAAACTATTCTGCTTCAAATGCCCCCTTTTGCTCCTTTGATTCCACAAAATAAATATAAATGGAGAGAAATTAATTTGTTACACTTTTTCCCTCTTGCATAATTGCACGCCACTTCCAAGTCATGGAATCCTGTTAAACTGAAACCCACAAAACAACCAACACCTAAGGACCACATTCTCTTGTATAAGAACAATTCAAAAGGAGATGATGTACTGTTTCAGGCTTTCAGTTGCATTCTTTCATAGAAAGAATTAATGTGGAAGAATTTTCCCCTTCCTTCCGAGATTACTATGATTAAAGCTCTTTCTCAAAATTCTTTGCAAACAAAGAATGCTACTTCTCGTTGGCTTTTGTCTCCTGCACTATTCTCCATAGAAGGTTTAGACAGCCTTCACTCTTTTTTTTTCTTGAGAATCCAGTTGAGAAACCATATAAAAGTGGAAAATGCGAAAATTGAAAATAGTACCTTTTCCTAATAAGGCTTTTACAGCTCTGCAGCATTTTCTTTCTGCTGTAAATTTTATCGCGGTGCATCCCTTGGATGGATTGCCTGATTATTGAGACTTTCGATCTTATTTTTTGTCTTCTAATATCCCAAGACCCTATACTTTAATTTTTGGTGCATTTATCTCTCTATGTAAAAGTGTTACTATATCTACATGGAAACAATTAATTGTGTAGATAATTTCAACAGGTACCAGTCCTGCAGCATATAAATTTATCGGTTCATCCTGGTGAAGTGGTTGCACTAGTGAGTGTTTCTTGGCTCTTACAAACTTACATTACTTCCTCATTGATTATGATGAATACTTTGCTATGTGCTTTATCTTGAATAGGTTGGTCTCAGTGGTAGTGGGAAAAGCACGATAGTGAATCTTTTGCTTCGTCTCTATGAGCCAACAAATGGTCAGGTAGAAATGTTCTGATCATCCTATTCAATTTCCTCTGAGCAGTTGGTGTTTGATATATGCTTATTGGAACTTTGATCTTTAATGGGGTAATTGAACACTTCCTTTTGGAGAGTATAACAGCATAGTGTTCCATAGCTATCAATTTTGTATTTTCTGCTTATATCTCAGCAATTTTGTTTCCGATACCTATAATTTGAATCTTATGTTAGATCTGTACCTCTTTTTGCAGATCTTAATTGATGGCGTCCCCCTCAATGAACTGGACATCAAGTGGTTGAGGGGAAAAATAGGATATGTGGGACAGGTCCTCCATTCAGTTCGAGCATTGAATTTCATTAAATTTCGGTGGATCTTCCCTCGTTAATATATTCATTCTGTACAGGAACCAAAACTTTTCCGCATGGACATCAGTTCAAACATTAAATACGGATGTACCAGAAACATAAAGCAAGAGGATGTTGAATGGGCTGCCAAGCAGGCATATGCCCATGACTTCATCACATTACTTCCCGATGGGTATAACACACTTGTCGATGATGACTTGCTCAGTGGGGGACAAAAGCAGAGAATTGCCATTGCTCGAGCCATTCTTAGAGACCCTACAATTCTCATCCTTGATGAAGCAACCAGTGCACTGGATGCAGAGAGTGAGCACAATGTTAAGGTAGCCATTGTTATGAATACCAATACCAAACACCAATTTTTATATTACCTTTTTGGGAGGTTGAGCATGGAACTTGGGGAGCCACTTGTTTCTGACCCTCAGTGTTTTCACATGCCACTTTATCCAGGGCGTTCTTCGTTCTGTCAGAAGTGATTTGTCATCCAGAAGAACCATCATAGTAATTGCACACCGGTAAGCTTTCAGGTATTATCTTTTTTTTTTCAAGGCTCAACAGTGAGTATAAAAATCTTCTCATGCACTATCTGCAGACTTTCTACAATTCAAGCTGCTGACAGAATCGTGGTGATGAATTGTGGTCAAATTGTCGAGGTTGGCTCTTTTCTTGAACGCTTAACATTATTTTCTTCCATAGCAAATATTTTTTTTGATAGGAATAGGATGCCTCATTAAAAACCTCCCTCTAAGTAAGTCCACTGCCCTAAGAAAAGAACCAACTAGTGGAAGGAGGAAAAGAGTACATCAATTTATTAATGATAAATCAATTACATAAGATTTGAAAAACGCTCCTATAAAAATACATAAGACTTAAAACACTCTTGCAGGACCTCCCCTCTAAGACATACAAACCAACTAAAAGCAGTACAATCAGCCAATTCCCTCCTTAGCTAGCTTGTCCGCCTCACAATAACAACACCTAGGAATCCACCTGATAATGATCTGATTTAAAGAAACAGTCGACGCAATCTCCTTCACAAAATTTGACAGATAAACAGGGACTGAAGTTTGATCTTTAATCCATTCCACTGCAATCTTTGAATCACTTTCAATAATGAGCCTACCCTTCGAAGCCCATAGTGATGAAACAAAGATGTCAATGCCTTTCTTGATAGCCTTCATTTCTGCTAGAATGGGAGTATTAGGACCTACATTTTCTGAAAATGAAGTCAGTGTCACCCGATTCCAGTCCCTAAGAATTCCCCCAATACCAGCCACCATCCCCACACTACTCACCGCCCCATCCACATTCATCTTAAAGAAGTCCAGTGGAGGAGGATTCCAACAGTACACACTACTGTCCAGAACCTTAGAGTCTGATAGGTTGTCAGCCACAGAAGGGTCACCAATTAAGAAATCAACCTGAGTCGAAAATAGGGGATACTTAGCTACAAACCATTTGGCTAATCTGAATCGAACAGTGAAAAATAAAGAGATTCTGTCCAACTTTCCTTTGTCGAAGATGATCTCGTTTCTTAACTTCCAAATGGACCAAAAAACTGCCCCTGGAATCAACTTCCATATAGCAGAATTTGGCCTCAAATCAGCCCACGAACTGAGCAGTTTAGGAGGGTCTTGCGGAAGAGCTAGCCGAATACCCCAGTACCCTATAATTTTAGTCCACAGTTCCCAAGAAACAAGACAAGAAATAAATAAATGCTGAACTGATTCAGCCCATTGATTACATAACGGGCAGAGAATGTTCTCCCCTAAATCAACCCCCTTTCCAACAACTCCACTCTCACAGCTACTTTTTATGTGACAATTGCCAAAGGAAAGTCTCCACTCGAGGAGGAACTAAACCCAGCCAAACAACTTTTTCCCACTGAACTGAGTCATCAAGAGAAACAGAAAGAGCTTTCCTACACGCTTTAACAGAAAACAGCCCCTCGTCCGAACCATCCCACAACAAACAATCCTCCAAAGGCTCCAGCAGTTTAATGTTTTTCAGGATGTCCAATAACTCAACCAACTGCTCAACCTCCCAATCACAAAGGTTCCTCCTGGTCTTAATATTCCAAACCCATCCAGACGAATCGAAACTCCCAAAATCAGCAATCTTACCCAATTTATTTGAAGAAAGGGCATAAATTCTAGGAAACATCAGTTTCAAAGGAAAATCCCCATTCCATGTATCACTCCAAAAGGAAATAGATTTACCATTACCTATTTGAAGCTTTGCATGAGATCTAAGGCAACCTCCAATGATATCATCCTTAAAATAGTTGTTCACAATTCCCCTCCAAATCCAAGAGTCTTTATGAGAGAAAACTTTATTGATATCCATGGATTGACAGCTCACATTGTGTTTGCTGCATAAGAGTTTTTTCCACATCAAATACTTATCATTGGCAAACTTCCAAACCCACTTACCCAACAACGCTCGATTTGTAACCTTCAAATCCGCCACTCTCAAGCCTCCTCCACTCAACGGACTACATATATAATCCCAACGTACCCAGTGCATTCTCTTCTTGTCACCCCTACTCCCCCATAAAAAATCCGACATCAATGAATTTAGCCTCTGACAAATAGTAGAAGGCATCTTAAACATAGATAGGAAGAAATATATGTGTGCGGGAGTCTTCTGTTATAAAGTGTTATGCTTACATCAAGAATTGTTGTTCATAGACATAATTGTCATCCAAACCTGCAGATGGGCAGCCATAATGAGCTTCTTCATAAAGATGGTCTATATGCTAGGTTGACAAGAAGACAGACCGATGCCGTAGTATGATGGTCTTGTGTAAATTGGTGTATCGTTGTTAATCTCGGTTCAAGTATCCTTCAATTTTTATCTCGACCGATATTGCGTCAGATATCAAAGCAGCTTTTCACAGCTGACCAATGTGTATATTCATCCAACAAGAATTCATTGCCCCTCTTGGAACCAGAAGGAGAGGGTTACCAACAAAACAAAAGCATCACTCGGTGGTTTTCTTTATGCTACCTCAACCGGCAACCTGTGGTTTGAACGGTATGCGAACCGATCTTTGAGTTTTTAATTTTTATTAAGCAGAACTGTACTATGAAGGCATGAGTTTTGAGATAGAATTATAATAAAGATTCAAGAAAGAAAAGGTAGTGTCAATTAGATATAGAATGTACTGATAAAAGCACCAGAGTCGACCCATCAACACCATGCTTATACAATTATAATGTTATAAGCCATGTAATTTTGATGATAAATTCTTATCACGATTCAGAATTTATGAACATTTCTTGAGCTCCTTTAGACATTGGTTCGAACACTTATCTACTTGTCTTTTATATCGATTCAGAATTTATGAAAATCCAAACCAATGAAGGATAATGATACGAGGATAATAAGTTATCCAAGTATACATGAAAATTAAACGAGTCTTTGACCTGAATCATTTACAAAAGGGGTCAATATTTGAAAAATAATGATCAAATAATTTATTAAATGTAAAGATGAATTTTCAAATAAGAAGTTTTTTTATACATGATTCAAATCACATGGTCGTTGGGTTATGATTTTTCATATAAAAATCCATTTGATCTATGATTCAAATTAAGGGCTTACTTGATCTTTTAGACACAACTAAAGGGGCAAATGTGGGTAGTTATGCGGTGCGACGCCTAAAAAACGGTTAATATACGGCGTGACCGGTTAAACAAGTGACCGGTTAAAATTTAGATCGGTTATGTTATATTATTTAATCGGAAATATTATAAAGTACAATAACATACTAGGTAGCGCTTATATAATGTAATAGGTAGCGCTTATATTTACCTATTTTATAAGTAAACCGATATATTTATACCGATAGCATTACAAATTTACCTATTACATTATATTATATTGAAAGTGTCTATACTTTTTATAAAAATGATCGATACTTCTTTTAAAGTTATGTAATTTATGTTTCAATTTTTTTTAATAGTGTTTCATGTTTTCCACCTACAATATTAATTTAATAATTTCATTTGCACAAAAAATTATTTGATTGTTTTGATATTTTATAAAATAATATTTAGAATTTTTAATTTAATAATAATATATATCGTAACGTAAAAAATAAATCATTAGACGCCTATAATTACTAAATTAATATTTTAAAACTCACTCAAAAGATAACCTTAAATTAATGTTTTCCACAGTGAAAAAAATATGGACACTTTTATAAAAAGGATAGATACTTTACAATATAAGCACTACCTATTACATTATATAAACGCTACCTATTACATTATATAAGCGCTACTTATTACATCATATTTTTACCTATTATATTGAAAGTGTCCATACTTTTTATAAAAAGGATCGATACTTCTTTTAAAGTTATGTAATTTATGTTTCAATTTTTTTAATAGTGTTTCATGTTTTCCACCTACAATATTAATTTAATAATTTCATTTGCACAAAAAATTATTTGATTGTTTTGATATTTTATAAAATATTATTTAGAATTTTTAATTTAATAATAATATATATCGTAACGTAAAAAATAAATCATTAGACGCCTATAATTACTAAATTAATATCTTAAAACTCACTCAAAAGATAACCTTAAATTAATGTTTTCCACAGTGAAAAAAATATGGACACTTTTATAAAAAGGATAGATACTTTACAATATAAGCACTACCTATTACATTATATAAACGCTACCTATTACATTATATAAGCGCTACCTATTACATCATATTTTTACCTATTATATTGAAAGTGTCCATACTTTTTATAAAAAGGATCGATACTTCTTTTAAAGTTATGTAATTTATGTTTCAATTTTTTTTTAATAGTGTTTCATGTTTTCCACCTACAATATTAATTTAATAATTTCATTTGCACAAAAAATTATTTGATTGTTTTGATATTTTATAAAATATTATTTAGAATTTTTAATTTAATAATAATATATATCGTAACGTAAAAAATAAATCATTAGACGCCTATAATTACTAAATTAATATCTTAAAACTCACTCAAAAGATAACCTTAAATTAATGTTTTCCACAGTGAAAAATGTATGGACACTTTTATAAAAAGGATAGATACTTTACAATATAACCACTACCTATTACATTTTATAAACGATACTTATTACATTATATAAGCGCTACCTATTACATCATATTTTTACCTATTATATTGAAAGTGTCCATACTTTTTATAAAAAGGATCGATACTTCTTTTAAAGTTATGTAATTTATGTTTCAATTTTTTTTAATAGTGTTTCATGTTTTCCACCTACAATATTAATTTAATAATTTCATTTGCACAAAAAATTATTTGATTGTTTTGATATTTTATAAAATATTATTTAGAATTTTTAATTTAATAATAATATATATCGTAATGTAAAAAATAAATCATTAGACGCATATAATTACTAAATTAATATCTTAAAACTCACTCAAATGATAACATTAAATTAATGTTTTCCACAGTGAAGAAAGTATGGACACTTTTATAAAAAGGATAGATACTTTACAATATAACCACTACCTATTACATTATATAAACGATATCTATTACATTATATAAGCGCTACCTATTACATCATATTTTTACCTATTATATTGAAAGTGTCCATACTTTTTATAAAAATGATCGATACTTCTTTTAAAGTTATGTAATTTATGTTTCAATTTTTTTAACAATGTTTCATGTTTTCCACCTACAATATTAATTTAATAATTTCATTTGCACAAAAAATTATTTGATTGTTTTGATATTTTATAAAATAATATTTAGAATTTAAATTTAACAACATTAACCAAAGATAATAATAAATATGTAATATATATGTTTATTGTTTTTAATTTAATAATAATATATACAACATCAAACACATTCCAAGCTATAAATTACAAGCTAAGGACACTTGAAGAAGCAAGAGAACAACTATCAAAGCAATCAAAAACGAGAAAATCCCAACATGATAACAACTGAACATATCATATCAATGTTCAAACTCAAGTTTTAGATTTTGATTTCCTTTTGCTTGGCATCATATGAGATTTAGATTTTGATTTCCTTTTGCTTGGCACCATATGAGCTTTGGATTTTGATGAGCATCGGAAGTATTTCGGACTTATGATTTGGGTGTTACTCAGAAGCATTTCGGACTTATGATTTTAGTTGCTATTTGTTACATTTCTTGTATACCACCCAGATCATACGCCCGAAACGTTTCTGACGCTTTAAAGTTGACCAAAAAATACAATGGTCGGGATTTCCCTCGCGTTTAAACGTTGGAAAAAAAACAATGGAAATTAGGAATAATCAATGATAACATGCATATTGGCTTGGGCTAATATTTATAGTGGAGCCAAAATATATATTGAAATTCAAACTCAAATTGAAATTTAAATTCAAACTCCAATTACATATGAAATGAATTTGAAATGCAGTGTTAAATTGAACATGAAAATTGCATAATTGATTCATACTGTTCAAGTAACATGCTTTATGAACCATCAAGCTAAAAGACAATATTGATTGAGTTCAAAGCTGAGTTGTGAGTTGATGGAGTTGTCACACTTGTCACATGGTTGGAATAAAGTACTCACATGGAAGAGATAGATTGTTTTGTTATACATAACTCATCTCAACTGAATGAAAATATACATACAATATAATCAAACCAAAACATACATACACAACAAATTTATATATAACAATGTTCAAATAATGTACCCACAAAAATGAAATTAATCCAATGAAAAAGAGTTATTTCTAACAAAGTCCGGAACATTATTTTTCCAAATAATGTACCCATAACAATGTTCAAATAATGTACCCACAACAATGTTTAATTGATTTGTTGTTTAATTTTCAATTTGAATTATTTGATTTAATAATTTCATTTGCACAAAAAATTATTTGATTGTTTTGATATTTTATAAAATAATATTTAGAATTTTTAATTTAATAATAATATATATCGTAACGTAAAAAATAAATCATTTGACGCCTATAATTACTAAATTAATATCTTAAAACTCACTCAAAAGATAACCTTAAATTAATGTTTTCCATAGTGAAAAAAGTATGGACACTTTTATAAAAAAGATAGATACTTTACAATATAACCACTACCTATTACATTATATAAACGATACCTATTACATTATATAAGCGCTACCTATTACATCATATTTTTACCTATTATATTGAAAGTGTCCATACTTTTTATAAAAAGGATCGATACTTTTTTTAAAAGTTATGTAATTTATGTTTCAATTTTTTTAACAGTGTTTCATGTTTTCCACCTACAATATTAATTTAATAATTTCATTTACACAAAAAATTATTTGATTGTTTTTATATTTTATAAAATAATATTTAGAATTTAAATTTAACAACATTAACCAAAGATAATAATAAAATAATATATATGTTTATTGTTTTTAATTTAATAATATATACCGTAACGTAAAAAATAAATCATTAGACGCCTATAATTACTAAATTAATATCTTAAAACTCACTCAAAAGATGTATATACATAAATATGTAGTTAACAAACATACCTAAATATGTAGTTATTGTACATACCTAAATTTAATGATAATATATACTTGTAGTTATTGTACATACCTAAATATGTACTGCGAATTTAATGTTGTACCCACCCTTTAACTACCACTACCAATGCCACATCCTATTGAAAGCAGCACGACTGAAACATGTTCAAAATGAACCTTTGCTTACATCTCCATCAACTCCTGGAGCACTGAACTTGCACAACAAAATTTTTGCCATGGATAATACTGATGTAGACAATGTTAAGCCAACCGAGGAATGCCATGAAGTACATAATGTTGATGAATCTGACAGATTGGTTGGTCAGCTCTTCTGTTCACGTGATCAAGCTTGGCACTTTTACAAGGGATTCGCACGGGAACATGGGTTTAGTGCACGTAAGGGAACAACACGGCTTGACGTGGAAGGGAATGTGAAGACACAAGAATTTTGTTGTTACAAAGAAAGGTTTCGAGTATCAAAAGTCAATATTGTTGATCGTCAACGTGCTCATACGCCAGTCACAAGAACAGGATGTAAGGCTAGAGTCGTAGTTACAGCAACAAATACAAACGATCAGTGGGTTATAAGTAAGTCTGATCAGAAACATAATCATGCATTGTGCACACCTGCTATGACACCATTTATGCGTTCTAATAGAGCTGTAAGTAAGGCTGATATCGATGAGGCAACAACATTGAAAGAGGTCGGTGTTGGCACGTCACAAGTAATGAACT